TGCCAGGTCCACCGAGACTTGGGAGGAGATGCGGCCGACAGATCGAGACGTCGGGTTTCCACCCGCCAGGACCGTTTCTAGGACGCCCAGAGGAAGGTTTCTAAAGTTCTCGCCCTCCGAGAAGCGGGAGCGTCCGTCGGGAACGTTTTCAAGGCTGGGGTCTCGGCCAAGGCTTTGCGGGGGGCCAACATTCAGGGGCTCCCCAATGGCAAGCTCAAGAGCCTCAGGGTCTCAGCGCTCCGTGCCCAGGGCCGTCTGCCGAGGGGCTGCTCGCTCGAGCTAGCCTCGACGTGCTCTCGAAAGGGGGATGGTCTCGTGACCCGCTTGTGTTGCTGACGGCAGATGAGAACCGTACGTACACACATCCTCCAAGACGGCATGCCGACCGACCCTGGTTTCTCGGCTCTTTTTGCTGCGGCCTTCGCCACGGCTGAGAAACCCAGGCCCTGGGCCCGAGTAAAAGATCCTGTGGCCGCCCTCGTTCTAACTTTAGGCAGGGTGGGCTTTAAGTGTCTGGACCCTTGGAGGGTCGTAGAAGCCACTGGAGAAACATGGGATCCCCGTGACCTTTCGCCGTCTTTAATTATCCCGCAAGGCCAAGTTTGCTGCCAGGCGTCTCTCGGACGCGGCAGGATTGGCCAAGATTGGCAAGGGGAGGTCCTGTATTGGGGATCTATTCTAGCGCCCTCTCAATGAGCTGTTGCACCTCAAGGTCGCTGAAGACGATTCGGGGGAGGTGGCGGTTGGTACTGGGGGTGCTTGGGGTTTGCGAGAGCAGCGAACCTTGAGGGGAATGGTGATCGGGTCGCACTGGTGCCAGCATCGACTGCACCAGCACGACCAGGACCTATCTGAATTGTGCCTGCTCTGTGGTGAACCAGGCACCCTGTTCCACAGACACTTCACGTGCCCAGCCAGAGACGCGTGGCGCAGCGATAATCTCCCTGCTGAATGAAAAGCCTCCGTTTGCCGTTTGTCTTTTTGTCCCGGGGATTCCAGGAGTCTTTCGCCAGAGGCATCCCCCCTGATCCCTGTCAACTCTACTCGCGGAGACTTTGGGACCTGTCGTGGGAGTTCAAGGTTGAAGGGCAGGGTGCGCCGCTCATGCTCCAAGGGGGGCACGTTTTTTGTTGCGACGGCTCTGGCATGGACGGCCTTTTTCCCTCGCTTAGAGCTGCGGGCTGGGGGATAGCTGTCTACGACCATGAGCGTCGCTTGGTGGCAGGGTGGTTCGGTTCCGTCCCACCCACGATGTGCCCAGATCAGGTAGCCAGAGATGGCGAAAAACTATGCTGTTTTTGTTGCCGCTCGTTTCCTTGGCGGCACTTACACCCTTTATTCAGATTGCAAGGGCACGCTCCAGTGTGTAGCAGATCGGAGGTTCGCGTGTCGCACTAGTAATGTCAGGGCTCAACTGTGGAGCCAGACCTTTGCCCAGGGCTCGCTTGAAGACGTTTCCGGACAAAACGTGATGGCCCACTCGTCGGAGGTTGATGTGCGTGAGGGGCGTATCTCGGCCTTTGAAAGAACGGGCAACTCAGAAGCGGACCGTTTGGCCAAAGATGGAGCCACCCTCAGCAAGCATGACCCTGCAGAGGTGCTGGCAGCGAAGGGCCTGCTCTTTTTAGCGCGCCAGCTTGCCAGGTATGTCACGCGTGCTGAAGTTTTTAACTCAGAGGAGGGCAGGTACGACAACATCGGGGCCCAAGGTCCTCCTCCCTCCTCCTCCCTCCTCCTCCCTCCTCCTCCTCCTCCTCCTCCTCCTCCTCCTCCTCCTCCCCTCCTCCTCCTCCTCCCTCCCCCTCTCTTCCCTCCTCCCCTCCTCCTTCCTCTCCTCCTCCTCCCCTCCTCCTCCTTCTCTTCTCCTCCTCCGCCTCCTCCTCCTCCCCTCCTCCTCCTCCTCTCCTCCTCCTCCTCCTCCTCCTCCTCCTCCTCCTCCTCTTGTCCTCATCCTCGTTCTCCTCCTCCTCCTCCTCCTCCTCCTCCTCCTCCTCCTCCTCCTCCTCCCCTCCTCCTCCTCCTCCTCCTCCTCCTCCTCCTCCTCCTCCTCCTCCTCCTCCTCCTCCTCCTCCTCCTCCTCCTCCTCCTCCTCCTCCTCCTCCTCCTCCTCCTCCTCCTCCTCCTCCTCCTCCTCCCCCTGCCCCCCCACGATTTCTGAGGGAAGTGCAGTGAGCCCCTACCCCCGAGCGAAGTGAGCCCCTACCCACGACCCCTGCCCCTGCCCCTTACCCCTGCGTGCGAAGTCGACCCCACCCTCCCCCTCGGAAATCGTGGGGGGTGGGGGCAGGTTTCGCGTGTGCCCCCCCAGCTCAGCTTCCTCTGACCCTCCTGAAGCTGAGATGCGTGCTTGTCCTCGTGCCCCGGACGTCCTGCCTGACAGGGCTCAGGGCCCGACTCGTTTCCTCGGCCTGCGCCGTCGCCAGCTCCTGAGAGGCACCAGTTCACCGCGCAGGTGGAGAGGACGCCAGGACAGGATGTGGTTTGGGGTGGAACCTCATCCTCCTCTGATTCGGGCTGTCGGCATCGGTGTTCGGTCAAACGCAACCGTCCCCTCATCCTCCTCGTCTTCCTTCTGCTCCTCATCCTCCAGTTCATCCGCCACATCTTCCTCCAATATCCTGTCTGTCTGTCTGTCTGCCTGCCTGCCTGCCTGCCTGCCTGCCTGTCTGTCTGTCTGTCTGTCTGTCTGTCTGTCTGTCTGTCTGCCTGGCTCTGTCTGTCTGTCTGTCTCCTTCTCTCTATATCCCTCGTCCTCCTCCTTCCTCGTCCTCCTCGGGCTGTCGTCATCGGTGTTCAGTCGAACGCAGCCGTTCCCTCATCATCCCCGTCTTCCTCCTACCCATCCTCCAGCTCATCCGCCACATCCTCCTCCCCCCCAATATACATAACCCCCCTCTTCTGATTACACATGACACGATGCTGTCCTTTGGGGGAGTCCAGGTCCGCTGTGTCACCCGTCGGCGGGTGGAGAAAGAATCAGCGCCATGGGTAGGGACAGCGGTGGGAGAGGTAGGCTGTCAGTCATGGCGCTAGCTCTCCTAGCTTGCCCATCTCCCATCTTCGGGCGTTGGCAGAATTGGGTCTAGTGGAACCCGGTTTAGTGATAGTGACTTGTGCCGGGGGCGCCCCCCCCGCCCCATCTCCACTGACCCGGAACTGTCTCCACCCGAAACACACCAACTACGGCAAACCTGGTTTAGTGAATCTGGCCAATTGCGGGGCCCCGGGGCCCTACCACCAACCGGGTCCCCTTACCCGGGGCCCTGGCTATACCCGACATCTCTCCCCCCGTTGGGGGCAATGACGGGAGCAACCGCGCCCCCCAATCCTTCATGAACTTCTTGCTCTGCTGGCGGTTCTCGCGGATGAGCATCATCACGTCGGAACTCTTCGCCTGGCTGTGCGGCCCAAATACCGCTCAATACCAAATAAGCAGGCGAATCAAAGGAAATAGAGTTTGCATAAAAAAGCACACACACACACACACGTTCGTCATCCAGCGCGCCGTCAGCGGGTCAAGTTCTGCGAGCCTACTGTTCGTTGTTCGCGAAAATGCCGGTTACCAGCCCCGCCCCACCCCCTCCCCTCCTGGTCACGTCACGATTCGCGCCAGCGCCGTCTAGGAATCCGCCATTCTAGAGCAGTCCCAAACAACGCCGGTGCGAATCGTGACGTTACCGGCCCCCTGTCCCCGCCCCCCTACCCCAATCACGCCCGTTCTCGCCAGAGGATGTAAGAATTGCTTCTACAAACCGTGAGATCCGACTCTGCGAGAAATGCCATATCGGAAAAAATCACGACTGGAGCCCTAGACACACTCTGTCTGCGCAATGTTTCAAGCCGGATCGATCTGCGATGGTCCCTGGACCCGAATCGAGCAAAATCGCCCGTTTTGAAAAATGCGACGCCTAGATCGCAGGGAGGACGGTGGCTCTCAGGCAGTAGCCAGCCTCGTCGTCGTCGTCGTCGCCACTCTCGTCGTCGTCGTGGGCATGCCTGGGAGCAACGCAGCGCGCCTTCGAACACCCTATGGCGCCTGTGCGCACCGCAATGGCCTGCATCCCTCCTCCTCCTCCTCCTCCTCCTCCTCCTCCTCCTCCTCTTCTCCTCCTCCTCCTCCTCCACCTCCTCCTCCTCCTCCTCCTCCTCCTCCTCCTCCTCCTCCCATTCCTCCCTCCTCCCCCTCCCCCAGTCCTCATTCCTCCCTCTCCCGATTCCACCTCCTCCTCCCCCTCCTCATCCCTCCTCCTCCTCCTCCTCCTCCTCCTCCTCTTCCTCCTCCTTCCTCCCCCTTCCTCCTTCTCCCCCTTCCCATTCCTCCCGCCTGCCGTCCCTTCGGACGGCCCCTGGCTGTCTTCGGCCTTCCGCCACGAGGCGCAAGAAGGTCTCCTCTGATGGGCGCGGCACTTGCCCCTCCCTCTTCCTCCTATGACCTTCCTGGCTCGCCTCCCCCTTGCTCCCTCTCCTCCTCCTCCTCCTCCTCCTCCTCCTCCTCCTCCTCCTCCTCCTCCTCCTCTCCTCCTCCTCCTCCCCCCCTCCGCCTCCTCCTCCTCCTCCTCCTCCTCCTCCTCCCCACCCTCCGCCTGCCGCCGCAACGCCCACGGACAGAGCCAGCCGTCGCTGGAACGAGCTTCTCTCTCTCTCTGTCTCTCGTCCTCTCTCTCTCTCTCTCTCGCTCTCTCTGTCTATATATATATATATACAGTATTCGGCCTAACCTAAGGAACGAAAAATAAGGAACGAAGCCCCTTTTTATCCAAGTGATTCTGGGAAGGCCGAAGGAATACCAGGGGGATTCGCCGCCAAAAAGGTAGAGGAACACATTCAAACCAAAGGAACGACCGAGCCCCTTTTTAAAAAGTTTGCGTTCCTTATTCAAGCCGGGCCCTGTATATATATATATATATATATAGATGCGTCTCTCTCTCTCTCTCTCCCTCCCTCTCCCCCTACACTCTCTCCCTGGAGGATGAGCACCAGCAGGAAGATCTTTCGCTCCCTGCCTCCCTATCACGATCAACCGTCCTTTCCACAAGAGACCGTGCCGTTCGTTGCATCGAGAATCCTCCATCTGACCGAGATATTTTTGTGATCCGTAGAGCGCACATCAAGATGCGCAGGCCCCTCAGGCTCGGGACTCGCGTGAGGCTGGCAGCTCACCACGCCATGCCCGCTTTGATGCGATCGTTGGACGGGCACATCTCCAGGCACTTGTCTCCCACGGCTCCAGCCGGGCCAGGAATCATCCCCCTCTCCATGCGGTCCGCCAGCACCTCGAACCCCTGGACTACCCTCTGGTTGAACAGCCCGTACTCCCCAGAGAACCTGGAGGCATCGGAGTCAGCCAGCTTGCCGGCGGCGAGAGCCTGGACCTTAAGCGGCATCTTCTTGCCCTTGCAGTTGGCCTCCTCTCCCGCCGGCCTGATGACGAAGGAATGGCCACACTGCATGCCCTTGATGGCCCCAGCACGCGACAGTCCCGACAAGAACGCGTGGTCGAAGCCCTTCGCAAGGTCCAGCTCATCCGCATTTACGCTCAGCGGCAGCGCAGCCATCAGGCGCTGACGGTTGAAAAGCATGTTCGCAGGGCCGGCCTCGGGCTTGGCCTTGGTCGCGTTGGCGACGCACTTGGTGAAGCTGCTGTTGGTCCACTTGTCCTTCTTCGCCCACGCGGGCCTGTGGTGAGCCTGCGTGTAGTCGCAGTAGGACGGGGGCTGCAGGGCAATCACCTCCTCGTCTCCGTCGAACAGCTCGCTGGCCAGCTCGATCAATCCCTTCTTGTCCTGCCTGTGCAGGAATGATTCCCCCTCCATGTTAGCGCAGATCTCCACGCCATACTCAGCCTGGCTGCAGAGGTCGACGAACTGCACCATCGCAGTGAAGTAGGCCATCTGGCGCTTCATGTCCGAGGACGTGAGGTCTTGCTTGAAGAACTTCTTGGCAAATGCGACGGTGCTGCCCTGGCGGACGGAGAAAACCTTCTGCAACAGCTCCTGCTGCCGGGTCTCATTAGACTCGAGGTCGACAACCTGCACAGAGCCCGTGGTGCCATAGCTGCGCCTCAGCTGCGCGACGACTGGGTCGTGGGCCGTACCCAGGGCGTTGTCCACCCCGGGCACCTTCGCGTTGATGATGGACACCTGCGCCACGTTCTTGCGCGAGCTGCTGAGCATCCGGAGCTGGTGGCTCAACATCAAGTCCTGGGAACACCAGAGAGGGATGCAGACACTGCTACTCCACGGACCTCTCGCGGGGTGCGTTCTGGACAGGATTCCGAAGCGAATCCAGCAGTGGCGACGAGGGCCTCCCTGGAGGCCCCAAACTGCGAAAACGAGGCAAGGCCAGCGGTATCGTTGCCTCCTCCCCCGAAGTCCGCCGGCACCGGCTGGGTGTGCTGCAGCACTGTGGCCACCAGAGTCTTCTTGGCGGGCGCCGTGCTTTCGGAGTCCTCCGTCGCCAAGGTGAGGCTCGCCGCCAGCGGGAGCAGCGTCGCCAGGGCGGCGAGGCGGAGGGTGGCGGCCATCCTGCCAGGAACTCGGAGCTCCAGCCGGTGAATCGGGTATGTACGTATCTGGCGTCGCCCACAAGCAGGTGGCGCGAGGGGGGTGGGCTTCTAAGCTTCTAAGAAGGCGGCGGCATCTTCGGAGAGGGCAAAAGGGCTTCTGAAGCCCGTCCGGCTTCCAAGAAGCCTTCTTGGAGGCCTCCGTGGCCTTCTAAACAGGCCCCTGCCTTCCAAGACGCACTTCTGCCTTCTTTGAACCCCAAACCCACCTCGTGCCACCCTTTTATGGGCGACGCCAATGTATGCAGTTTGCGGCGGTACGGAGCCAGTCAGCTCGGGCCCAAACCGCCGCGCAGGACGGCGCGGGGGCAGCACAGAAGTGGCCGCGCGTGATCATGACCGAGGGGCAGCACAATGCAGCACGTTGTGGCTGGTGGCCACCAGTCGTACGATAAGAGAGCAGGGCACAATCAAACCTAGAGGGAGGAGGACTGGGAAGGGGCAGGGCGATGCCTCGGGACGAGGCACGGCGGAGGGAAGCGAGGAGCAAGAGGGAAGCAAAGAGGAGGCACGGAGAGAGAGGGGGGAAGGGGCGGAGGGAGACAGAGGAGGAGGAGCGAGGGCGGCGGACTGGACGAGAGAGCAGCGCACGTTCAGAGCTGCAGGGAGGAGGAATGGGAGAGAGGCAGAGCGAGGCAGGCGCCCTGTATAGGTGTGGGTGCGAGCTGTCGGAACCCAGGGGGGGGGCTCCCACTCAAGCGGGGGGGGGGCATCCGACAACACACACACACACACTGAGCATCGTCTAACCGATCCCTGTCTCCGCTCCGCGTGGCCTGGGCCCCGCTGGCCGGTCTAGCCCCCATGGATGGGGATGTAGGCAGTGTCTGTCAGATCTCGAGGGGTATTTCCCCAACTGAGGGGATGGGATGGTGGGGGTCTGGATGGGGATGGGGATGGGGATCGGTTAAACGATACTGACACACATAGACACACGCACACCCATAGCCCCCCCTGGAATTCCCCCCCCAGAAAATCTGGGTGTCGCATGGGTATGGGTGATAGTTGTGAGCTCATGATCTGAACCACTGCTGGATCATGACTAGCACGAGGACCACGGGCAGGAGCGTGACAGAAGAAACATGTTTGATACTCTTAGGCCACCCCTCCGCCGAACTCTCCAACGAACGCTGAGCCAGCATCGCTCGCCGAACCCCATTTGAAGCCCTGCGGACGTCGGCGTTGGCCTCTTTGGGAGCTCCACTTCCACTCCCCCTTGGGACAGCCAAAACATAGTCTCAGGACGACTTCCCCCAGAGAGGTGTCGCAGCGGCCACGATTACAGCCATGGTGTGCGTCAAAACGCAACCGTTGGGCGTCCCGAGGCAGGCCATGAGACCCCCTTTCCAGGGGAACATTTGTTCTGGGGTAGGTTTGGCCTCCCCTGACCTAGGGCTTCTGAAGCCGTCCCCGTTCAACTTCAGCGCCTTCCTTCTCCGGGTCGTCCGCTGGCCCTTGCCAACGGCCTGGTCTGTTCAGTACGTCGGGCTCCGCAATTCTGGACGCCAGCATTCGTATGGATTTCGCTCATACGAGTAGTTTTTCGTGGGCCCAACCAGGCTGCCCCAAACGGCCATCCGAGGGCAGAAACTAAAAAGCGACAAGAACCAGTTGCTTTCATTTTCTCAAGGCGCTGGATGTGTGGGGAGAAGACACGGGGGGGCGAGGAGGGGGAGGCCGTTTTAGGAACGACCCATGCGGCCGACTGTTGCTACTCTGGGTCCCCAGGCGCTGACTTTTCATAAGGATCGGCCTTGATTGCCGTTGGCTTCCGCCAGAAATCAGCCCGCGAAGCCGCCGATACTTCCCTTCCGATGGCATTCCGCCCGCTTCAGCGGAAAGCGAGATGTCAACCCTTCAGCTCCTCGAAAGCAAGACCGAACGGTCTCCCGTCAAATGTCCTCAGAGGCCTCTGAGGCCCTGAATGCCCAACGACGCCCAAAAACTTACTATCTCCCAATACCCCGCCCGCAAGCCTGGAAACCCCTTTTTTTTGATCGCTCGCAACATAGATTGCACCAGATGCATTGCGCATCCGCGGTGGGCTGGACCATTGCCTGGCCGCTGAGGTCGAAGATAGCACCAGCCAACTACGTCACATCCAACTGGTGTGCACAACAGCAGCACCACCATGGTGCATTATGTAGTGCTGGACGAGCTGCTTTCCAAAAGAGCTGGTGCGACGATAGCAGGGCTCACAAGCAGGATCAGTGCAGACTGCAAGTGTGGACCCCCCACGTGCAATGATTGTATCCCAGATGCTTACGTGACCGAGATCACGATACCTCAGATCGTAACCAGCGGCTGGGGCAATGAACTCCACCTTGGTGAAACCAGCGTCAGACAGGACATTACGTGCAGCAATGACGCCAGGGTTTGCACCTATTCTTTTTGCTGCATTTGTGTCCCAGAGTGCTGGTAAAGCACTGGTATTAAATGGCAAGTCAGAGACGAGAACCTTTTGTAAGTTGGGCGCATGAGCATGCGCATGCTGAACCAAACGCTCGGCGCAAAATGAATAGTTGATCTGGCTGAGAGCCTCGGACCGCCAATGATATACGACATAATTTCCAGTGATTCCCTTCCCTGGCAAAGCTGGCGCAAGTTCATTCTGCTCCAGGATATCAGCTACCTCTGCTTCGCGAGCGGATGAAAAATTAAAGTAAATAGGTGCCACGTGGAGCGCCTCGAGAAAATTCTTCCGCAGGCTGAGTATACCAACGTGCGTTGCGTTTGCCGTTGCCTGCCTCCAGGCGCTGAGACTCCTCGGCCCCGGCAGGGCGAGCTCATCACATCCGAACCCCGACCCGAGCGACTTCATGCAAAACACCATCTCTGGGTGCAGGTCGCCCTTCGCTGGACTGAACGCATCGAGATTCCAGCCTGACATCTCATAGTACTCAGAAAGCGGCAGAG